AACCAATTTTGGAGATTCAATAGTTGGTTTTGCAACTCACTTGCTCTTCCAATTAGCTTGGTGAAGATTTTGTGATCTTTCTAAAAACTAGTAAAAATTGCCGAGAAGTACTATTAACCCAACACTTTGTTGTTCCCAAAAAGAGAGAAATATTGAGATTATTATCAAAAAAATTAAACAACAATAATAAAAAAGATCTTGTCCAAATAGGACCTGAGAGGTGGTGGAGGACAAGCAATGGTGTAAACCATGAATTGGGGAAAAAATTGATCAACTTCACCCAATGAACAACCTCGGCTATTGCCCAAAACATGGACATTAATAAAAAGACAAAAAAATAAAATAAAATAAAAAAATAAAAACCTAAAATTGGAGGTCTTACCACGATTCTCTCCTTTTTGTTCATTCTTGTCCATTAAAACAATGGTACAATGGAAATTGTTAGACCCTAAGTGTGGAAAAAGAAAGTATTATTTTTTGAAAATAAAAAACCTTCTAACAAATCTTCACACTCTTGCCAAATCCTAAAAAATTCAATAGTCAATTAAAGGATGAATGAACTTGGAGGTGTTTAAATTAAGTGAAGTTGTTGGGGGGTTTTTATTTATTTATTTATAAATTGCCATTTAGTTTAACTCATATTGGATGTGTTCCTCAACTAATATTTTTTTACTGATTGATTGTGCTATTTGGTTGTGAAGATTTCAATAAATAATTTATTTAGATAAATTGGTAATGTTAATTATTAAAAAATAGTCTTGGAAATTGTAGTAGGTACTTGTATTTAGAAGGTCTTTTAGTGTTTTCCATTATGTTTTCTGTTTCTTGGTGCAACATGATAGTTTTCATGTAGTTTTTTTGTTCATTAAATGGAAGCATTCATGTGCCATTTCAAAAGAGCATTTAAACAAATGCCCTTTTTTAGCTATACAATTGACTTAGGAAATGATACCTTATTCTTCATAAAGTCAATTTCAATTTAAAATATCAAATGATACAAAATTTCAATTTAAAATATCAAATGGATTTTAGTTATTTGTTTATTTATTTCTCCCTTTGCTTACTTCTTCCTCCCCTATTAGCAGTGAAAATCTCAGCCATGAAAAAATTGGCATGGGTTTTAATCTGAAGCATATAATACATGGTTTATTTTAAAATAGAAATAAAGGCAAACCTTGATTTGCAAGTGCAAGATGTGAATACTTTTTAAACTGTAGTATTAGTGTTTTACACTCAGTATTTGTAAGTAGAAAAGTACTGGGAGACTTTCAACAAGTAAATTCAAAACATGTGAAATACATTTACCATACAAAAGTATTTAATGAATTGGTGATTAATAAAATGGAATCAGAATCACAAAGAAAATTGAGTAATTCCTTTTTTAAAACCTGATAATGAAAATAAACTAAAGTTATCAATATTTGTGATTGCAAATCTGAAGATTATTATACTCAGTTTGTATGAGTTGAATACTAATTTGCTCACACATATATATATATATATATATATATATACATACATATAACTAATAAAAAGAGCAATGTTTCTAGGCTTTGATATTTTTTAACTAATTTATTTAAATTTGATACATGCAATTTGCATTCAATGTTATCTTCATATTTTGATAAATACACATAAATAATTGTTCATTTAATGAGCTCTATTCTACTAAATAAATATAATAAAATAATATAATAAAATAAAATAAATGGTTCAACTTGTGGTGCTATGTAGAGTTGCCATTTATAAAATTGGACAACAACCTTTTAAAAAAACAAAACAAAAAAAAATCCAGCATGATTTAACACATTATTCTACAAATTCAAACCCCACATCAAACAAATCAACGGATTGTATTTTCATTTTAAAAAAAATTATTAAAACCTGAGGAAACTCCCAAATGGTGACCATAAGCCTGTAGCCTCCAGCTCACCAAACAAAGTCACTTTAAATAGATTATTTAAAAGGAAAAGGCAACAACATGGCATTCAATGCTCCCTCACGCCCAAAGCCACGCATCCACGGCGTGGGCGTGGGTAACCGTAGAAGGGGCTGGCTTGTACCGCGGGCGTGTGTAACCGCAGGGTGCGTGTGCATGTAGCGCGGTAATGGGTGACCGTGGGAAGGGTGCTAAATCGGGGAGGGGGGAGAGCGGTGTCCGAAGGAACACACGTGAACCCCACCCCGGGACCCGTCGCAGGGATGTGCCGTGATGGCGGAGCCTCGTGGTTCCCACCCCCTTCCTCCGTGTTCCCCTGCATGCTCCCTTAAAAAGACTCATCCATTCAGACAACTCCATCCTCCCTTTCTTTCATCCATCCATCCGCCCCCCCCCACTTTGTGACCTAATCTCATGCTTATCTTACCCTTTTGCATGATTGGCATGGCTGTGTGCATATGTGTGTTTAATTTGCTCCACCGTGGGCACTTTTTGCTAATTCAAATTTGTGATGTTCAAAGTTCACTCCATTACCCACACAATCATAACTGATTTGATTAAGTAAATAGTCGTGAAATGACATCTGAACATGTTTGATAATACGGGCATATGTATGTATGCAGATACGTATATGTATTCATAAATATGTCAGCAAATTAATAACTAGTTCTCAATGCATCTTTAAACACCTCTCAAAGGCAGTTCATTCAATATCTTATTTGTTGTTTCAATAATTCCAACAAAAAACCGTACTTTTGGAGATAATATTAAAATCGTTTAAATTGCCCCTTTTGTCATTTCCTTGTGATTGCTATTCCACCAAATGTTACATTCTTGATAGTGGACAGCATTTACAGGTGATAATAGCAATAATAATAATAATTATTATAGGACTAATAAATGGGTTCATGAAATGTATTACATGATCTTATTTAAATAGATAGTAAATTCTATATCAATGAATGAGAATACATATTACGACTGGAATTTTTCAAAGTTGTGTGCTTGATACATTATATATAACTGGCAATAAAATGTCTGAAAATGTTTCTATTATGATGTATTGTGTAATACATATTAACTTTTAAAAATCACTTCTAGAGTTTTCAAAATACGAGCCCACATGTTATTATGTATTTAAAGAGAGCAAACAAATATAGAACATTATCTTTCTCTTTGCCTTAGCTTTTACATTTGGGGGTATACTGGAAGGAAGTTTTAGGAAGATGCTTGGTTCCCTTCAATTTTCTGGCATCCATTTTGGGTAGTAGAACATTTTTCTATTATTATTTATTTTTTATTTATTTTTATTTGTTTTTTTGGTTTTTTGGTTTTGGTTTTGGTTTTGGTTTGGTTTGGTTTTTAATTTTTTTTTTTTTTTTTATGGGTTGGGCAGATTACGCAACATATTGGGTGGCAAATTCCCAACCACAACAAGGCCCCATAAATCATGCAAGTAGTACACTTCTAAATTTGGGAAACGGTGCCTCCTCAAGGACACCCTCAACATCAACATGGAGAGCCCCACATCAAGGCCATAAGGATATGCATGGATGCAATTTAATTCTCAAAAATTAAAACCATGACATCTTTTTACTTACTCAACCCACCACACTCTCAGATCATTTTTATTAATTTATTTTTCATTTTCATAACTAAATCTCCAATGAATCACTCATATAAATCTTACCATATAACTTCATTCAATACTTCTATAATAGTAATTTATAATTTTTAACATAGATTTTATGTTGCCTTTTTGAACATCCTTGAAGCATTTAGTTGAAGATGAATTATCCTTACCTTGTGAGTGGGGTTTCTTTTTTTAAAGTTTTATGGGTGATATCATGCTCTATTTATACTTGTTATATATAGATATATATTATTAGGATTAAAAACCAACATAACTCAAATTTACGATAATGAATTGGATGATTATAATTCCAAAAATTATTTATTTATTTATTTTGCCTTCAAGGTGAGAAGGAGAGGAGGAAGAGGAAGAGGAGGAGGGAGGGGGGGTCCTATAACCGTTCAGACGATGAAGAGCCGTTCAGGGTGAGGACCGGTATATCACCTTCGGCATCTTAAGGATGCTTTCCATCAAACTAGGGCTCCCATCCACTTTTTATCATCCACACGTCTTACAAGGGGGAATATTTTTTATTGGTCTGAATAGGAAAGTGCAGCGAAGCTGCCTTGTACCCAGAAGGGCAGGGCATCTGAACCAGATTTTGGGGGTGGGAGTTTTGGGTGACATTTGGGGGCGGCGTTTTAATTTTAGCCCTATTTTGGACCCTTTTGAGATTTGTTTTTTTTATTTATTATGCATTGTGAGAATTACTAAACATTACCAAACATGCCATAGAAACTTTTACTTTCTGGAGAGATAAAAGTAAATTGAAAAGTTAATATTGCTCAAGAAAAAAGACAACATAATAGACCCAGCAAGACAAGTTCCCTTTTTGATCTCACAGAATGTAAGAAACCGTGTAAAATATTTCCCCTCCTTGTTCTGTATGTTTTTTACGAAGGATAATCGACTGTATTACCGCAATGCTTTCCTCTTCCTGCCTAAATGTTTTGCTTTTTCAAGCAAACTGGAAGAGAGCAAAAACGCTTCTCGATCCCTCTGACAGACCTCTGGACATGGGCAGCAACTGAAGCTGATTAAAATGAAATAAAATAAAATAAACAGAAATTCATATTCGGGCAGCAACCACGATTCATTTATTTGTATGTTTCTGTGTTTGAAAGAAGTAGAGATGATAAAAATAGGACCTTTTGCGGGGGTACGGAGAGTTAGTGGGCTACAAGTAGCAAGGTGTGAGCTCAATCAGTGATTGCGAAGGCGTGCTCATCTTGAACCTGGTTTATTTTCTATTTATTTTTTATTTTTTATCTAGGCACGTCAAATCTCAGAGCCAGTATCAGTGGACCTCCACACTAAAGTGCAAAACACAAAAAAGAAAAATAAATAAATCATAGACAAGTCACACAAAAAGAGTAACAGAAACAGAAACAGTTAGACAGGCCTTGGAATGGTGCCATCTCCGTGTGCGTGTGTGCGTGCTTCCGTGAGTGTGGAATTAACGGTATCGTACAAGTTATTCGTCGAGCAAGGGGTCAAGTTTCGGCATTCCATGTGGGCACACATTCACCCGCTAGTACTTGCTACTTCGGTTGTCTACATACACACTCACACACAGAGGGAGGAGTACAGATGGTGTAGTGTGTTCCCGCTGTTGTGGTACAATCGGCCAATTTAAGACACGAGTTAGATTGATGTGGGGTGCCGAGTTGCCACCGCTATTAACAAGCAAGACGTGCAAAGGCATGTTGCGGATGTTCTCATGATTTATGAGTAGTAGTAGTATACCGTGGTGGTGGTGGAGTTGCGTAGGGCTGAGTCGCGAACCGCTTTGCCTTTCCACTTTGGACCCCTGTTGGACGCTAATATAACACCGTAAGTCCACCGTGAGCCGGTTCAAGGGAAGAGGAGAGGTGTCAAGGGCCACAAGGCCAATGGTCCCGGCTGCGCCGTGGAAGCCTTCTAGGAAGGGCGTGGGAGAGAGAATATGGAAGCGGAGGTGATGACATCATGAGCAAAGCATTCACTTCCGCCAGCAACGCCTTCCCAGAAAGATTCCAGTCTTCCGTGCGGACTCTAATTGTGGTAGTGAGGACGCTTCTTTCTGCGCGATCGATGCAGCCGCGAGCCCCCTTCCTTACGCGAGCCTTCGTTAACTCCTACAGTGTCGGCGCTGCTCCATCCAGAGGACTGATTTCCCAATAATAACCACCTAACATATTCCTCGTCGATGATGTCTGGCTATACTCTCGTTCCTCTCGGTTGCCTTAGAGCATCCGCAGCCAGCCACTGGAAACACCCCTGAATCACTATACCATACTATTATTGATATCAAGGTGTAACAAATATTGTGATTTAGGGGTGTTTTCCAGTGACTTGCTGTAGATGCTCTTACATCTGTTGTCTAGAGAGTGGGGGTGGGCGGGGGGTTAGTGTTTTTATGTTTTTGTGTTTTATTTTTATTTTTAAATTCTCTTTTTGGTCGTCAGTGTGTTCGCCGGCGCGGACCGGCTATTTAGCGGTCGAGCTTCACGCAATCGATCTTTCGCCTCAGTGTGCTTGTGTGCCGGACCAATCTTCCTCTTGCCAAAGCGTTCGTGAGGCCGTTTCCTCTCCCACTGCTGCTGTTGTTGATGACGTGGATTTGAGTGTAGCGTCTTGCTCAAGCGTTTGGCGGAAAATTAGATTTAGATCAGGACGTGGCGAACGGAAGAGCTTCTCAGTTGGCCACGATTCTGGGGTTTTTCCTCGGTGCAGATCAAGGAGAGTTTGAACAGTCGGGGAGAGTTGTTAGAAGCCAGTGGTGAGGTTTGGTGATTGAATTGATCAACTTGCCTGGTTGTAGTGAGTGGAGAGTAGGGGTTCTACAAGCGTTGGAGCGTACGTGATGATCAGGAAGAAGCTGAATTCCATGAATGCAGTCATTAGCGCTTCAATGAGCGGCCAATCGTCAATGGCTGGTAACGGTAGGCCGTAGTCCAGGAATTCTTCGAGTTGCATTCTGCAGGTGTCTCTACAAAGACAAGGAGGTGGTCCTGAACGTGCGAAACCGCCGTAAATTGATGAGCCATGAAGAGAGACGTAATAGAATGAGCGCGGGCTTGCAAATGGGGTGGTCTGCATGCTGGGCAATAGTTGCTCAAAGCTTACACTGTTGCCTTTGGATGATCGGCCGCTTGGCATCCGTTACTGCAGACTACCACCGCTCCAGCTACTTCCGGATACCCCAACGATGACATAGTTGCACTTCGGTTGTATAAACATCTAGAAAAGTCTCCTTGGCTGTTGCCGCAGTAGCCAGGGTGAGTAATTACTGAAAACCATCTATTCGGAAACGTATTATTGAAAGAAACTGGCAGGCTCTTTTTGGTTTTCAGTTTTTTGTCTTTTTTCTGAGTAGTGTGCAAAACTCTCATATGCAAGGTCGCTCGCATGGCTCCCATCTTGAGCACCCCCCCGTCCCATGCACCAGCATCACAAAGGGATGGAGCAGTCGCTAGCGAGGACGACATCGCATGCCCTGCGCACCCAGTGTTTTCTTCGTCGAGCAAGAAGCCCATTCCAACGCAGAGCATGGCTGAGATCATGCTCCGAGGGCGCCACCAAACCCCTCCCAGCCTCTCAGATATTCACGGACCGAGTCCGAGCTTCTACGTGGCACCGCACGGATCCCACGAGGACTACGACCTTCAGCACGTTGTGGACGTCGCAATAGCGGTGCCGGAGCACGGCAGCCGGCAGCTGGCGCAGATTCTGTATGACCGGTCTTTTGAATTGAAAGCACCGCAGTGGCCTCGCAGCAACGGACTCAACAGCCCGCAGTTTCAAGAGCCCAATCGTCCTCCGGAGTGGCTGAGACCCTCTTCGGCGACTGCAACGCGGAATCTCCCAGTGGTTGCGGGTCCTCCCAACTCGGCATCAACCCAACCTAAAGGACAAACAATCAACGCCCCCATCAAAGCCGAATCCACCCCTCTCCGGAACTTGGCATTCCCGCCGTATGCGAACCCCACCGCAGAATCAGCCTTACTGTCTCCAATTCCAACCGTGCCGGTTCCAGCGCCGGGCCTTGTCAATGTCCCAGAAACCACCGTTAACGTTCTCTCAGCGACCACTACTCTTCACCGTGAGCCATTACAGGTGAGATCGAAAGCGAGTATAGGTTCAACCCAGTCTACTTCTAGAACCCAATTCAATCTACCACTGCCAGGGTCATGATGAATAAGTCATGCAGATTCTCGCTTAATTGACTTGAAGTCAACTGTTGACTCACTGATCGTATGTTATCTGCACATTCAGAATCACATGGAAGACATCGATTTTGGTGCATTTCATCCTAAGGTCGTGTGAGTTGGATGAAACTTGTGCTTGCAGGTGTTGCTGGCGGGCTGTACGACTTCTCAGCAATCTAGTGGCAGCAACGCCTCGTCGCAGATAGCTAAGAGTCCAACTCTAACGTCTGACTGGGAGACCTCCAACTGGCCTGATATTATCGACTGCATGGACATCCAGAATCATTCGGACGTGGTAAGAACAACATCGTCTTGAATTCATCCTGGACTTGCTCTTGCCTAGATTGAATAAAAATCTTCTCTTGAGATCGATGATTATGCTTCCTCTTGCAGGCCCGCATTGCCTATCTAACCTTTCCGAGGACCCTAACACGTACTTTGAGCTCCATGTTTGGTAGTCTGGAGGGCTGAAGGTTGTGTTTTTATTTGTGATCATGTGAAGCTCCGACAGCAGAACAATATCCCTCAGATGACGGCTTCCCCGTCCCTGCTGTCCATTCATCATCTCAAGACTGATCAGCCACAGCAATCAACAGGTTGGTGTTGAACTGTTCACATCACCCTGTCGGATTCTTGACACTGTGTTATTGGCAGCCAGTTAAAAAGAAAAAGAAAAAGAAAAGAAAAAGGAGATAAAATCTATCAGAAAATGTAATTTGGAACAGACCGAATGCAAAAATGGCTTGGCACTTTGGCATAAATCCCGTTTTTGGAATTGGAAATCAGGAACAGCGTCGGAGGGGAGTCCAGGACCTTCTTTCGAAACAACGCATGTGTACTCGGCTGCGGAGGCTGCCAAGGCGCGTTTACGCTGGACTCCTGAACTTCACGAGAAGTTTGTAGCCGCTGTTACCAAGCTCGGAGGCCCAGATCGTAAGCGAACAACTAACCTTGTCTCCTAAATCCCGGATGGATCTAACTCAGCACAGCTTCGGCATCCGATGATGTTTTGTGGTTTCTCGATTGTTTGGATGTCACATACTCATGCGAAGTATAATTTGGCGTCTTGTTTGCAGGAGCGACGCCAAAATCGGTTCTCCGTCTGATGGGATGCAACGACATTACTATCTATCACGTGAAGAGCCACTTACAGAAATACCGGCTCATTCCTGAGATGTCCACTGCAGAATCGAAGTGTGAGCGGAGGCGCCATAGCCAATGTCAGGGGGGTCTCGACGCGGCCTCGTAAGCTAACTCCCCCAAAGCCTCCCTCCTGCACTTATAGCTTCCTCACGTAAGATGCCGTATGGTTTGTGCTAGTATTTTCTCATGTTTTCTCGCTATCTTGGGGTTCTGATCATGTGGTTGGTCTCCTGCAGCACTGTGAAGATGTCACAAGCCCTGCAAATGCAAATGGAAGTACAGCAGCGTCTTCACGAGCAGCTCGAGGTCTTGACTTTTGATCCAACGTTTGCATAACTTTACCCTACTCACACATGGTCAGCAATTCGTCACGAGCTCATTGTTCAGGAGCTTGAGTTTAAAACCTCTTGGATTTCATCATTCTAAGATTGTGCTGGTATTGTTTGACAGCAGACTCAACGACAGCTCCAACTGCGAATCGAGGAGCAGGGTGCGAACCTCCAAAGAATGATCGATGCTCAAGTCATAGCAGGACAGGCACTGGGGATCCCTTCGGACCAAATCGCCAACGGTGAATTTTTCGCGCGGGCCACTGGTTGTGCATTGAACCCCGAGGACTCCACAGTCTTCACAGGCGTCACTCCACCCCACATCACGTCGTGGTCCAGCGCCGCGGGTACCAGCTCGGGTCCGTCTCTGAAACGACCGCGCGTCGAAGTAACTGTACCACCCTTGGTCCTCATACCGAAAGTCTTACCAACAAACATAAATTCAAATGGGTCCGCTTCATCTCCGAACGCAGATGCATCGTCTCCAATGAGCTACACTGATACGTCGGGAACAAGCAACGGAGTCATGACCAGCCGGGGCGAGGCATCAGCGTACCTGGAAACCAATGCGGTGACAACAGCGATCCCTCGGCATGCGAGTCAGCCCCAGGGATGCTCGCCGAAGCAGCATGGTAGCGTTCCTGCAGCGACAATGCAGTCTTCAGTCTAAGAACATCAGAGTAATTCCCTTCAACCGTCCCTATAATTCAACAGTTGCAGTTGAACACGCACAAAATTGTGTTCCAGGTCCTGCAAAATCCTCTTGAACATGATGAGACCGGTTGAAGATGACAAGATCTTACACCATTGACTTCGACAAGGTTTGTACTACACCAGCATCTCTTGATCCAACAATAGTTGCTGAAGTCTTGAATGTAGGGAAGATAAGTGAATTATTCCATAGATAAGGTTACTTCAAATCTATCAAGGTTGGAACTGCAGGCAGAAGTCACCGCCACCTCTTGGGTGCTGTGGGTGTAAAACAAATTGTTTCTTGATTAATTTTTATGCGTTAGCTCTAACCGAACTCTGGCAATTTCCTTGGAGATGAGGAGTTACGGAACTCCTGACATGAGCGTTTGATATACTGTAGGACATTCTAACAAAAATTTAACAGACCTAAAGAAGACATTGAAACCAATTGTAACCCCAATCATGAATCTGAGGTGTACAATGGGTGCTTTATTGAACTCTTTTTGCAAAGCTTGATTAATCGTGCAAATGAGGACGTGGGATTAGGTAGCTGACCAAATAATACACATCCAGACCCAAAAAGTTATTTGCATTCCAAAACTCCACAACCTTTAACACAAACACCTAAAACATTGGATATTTTCCCTCATACTGTGATAATTGTCTGCAACGGTGTTCTTTCATTTCACGGAGAAGTGTATGAAAGAATGGTACATATTTTTCTTCTGTTCGATTAAGTCATTCACTGCAATTGTGGTGATCAGTGAAGGGACCTGCAAACTCCAGATCACATTCACTAGCTATACTGAGTGTCATTCCGCGGCTGGACCTCCAAGCTCCTCACTGGGCTGGAGTCATGTCCACTGTGCAGCGATTCAACTCAGTGAATCGAGAACAGTCCAAAAACAATGAACAAATATAATACTCCTTCAAGGAAAGCTAAGTTGCAGCATTAATTTGCTTCACTTTGCATTGAATGAGGCTCCGCAACCACATGCAGATGCTGCATCGGGATTGATGGTGACCTGCCAGAGCACGATGGGTTGGAAATAAGGAGCAAGCTGAAGCAATAGGTGATCACTCCATGTCAATGTCAATGTCAATGTCACCGTCAACATCTACATCAGTGCTCGTCAAAAATCAAACTCTTATCATTCACAAAGATGAGATCCAGAATTGGATACTTGGTACGATCAAATCTGCTGATTAAATACGCTGGATAGAACATCCTTGACAGTCAAAAGAAACAAAATTATCTTACTGCAAAAGACGATCGGATTAGTTCGTCGGTGAAGTCCACAGTGGCACCTTTGATAAAACCGAGCGAAATGTCGTCTACTACAAGCTTGGATCCATCCCTTTCAAAAATCCTGTGCAGCCATACCAAAGTGAGCAACTCAATCCACCATTACAATCAGTATTCATCACATTGCCTTTCATTCCAAATAGCAGCAGCCATAATTCTCCAATCCAAATCTCCTGTATCAGTAGGAATCGATCAGCTCATATGCCAGATTTCGGCATTCAAGAGATTATTTAAAATCCTAGATGCAGAGAAGGTTCAATCCTCCAACGAGAGACTAACGCAAAAGCAAGCTATTTGAAATACAATACTTTACCAGGAACTCATTGAAATGTGACTGAAACGCAGAGATGATTAGTGAGCTTATCACGTGTCATCTTTGTTCACCTTGTCGTCGAGAGCAAAATTGTAGAGAAAACCGGAGCATCCACCTCCTTCTACGCTCAACCGTAGCATTTTGTTCTCTCCCGTTGGCCCATCTTCAAGCTTAATTTCCCGTATCCTCTGTAACAAGATGAAGTCGAAAAACCTACGCGGTAACTGCAGAATCCAAAGACCTGCCAACACTCGCGACTAAACCCAACAAATCGAAAACAATGCACCAATTTCAATGAATCCCAATTTGGATTGGGACTCAATTAAATTCAAGATTAAGAAAATGAATTCAGAAAGGGTGGTACCCGGACGCAATTATCCGTCAAAGAAATCTCCTCTGCAACCTCCCGATCAAGCTTCGGATCCTCAGATGCAGTTGACGAAGGTGGTCGTAATCCTCCCTCGTTCAATGATGCCGTCCTCGCATCTCCCTCTTGCATTCCATCCCTCAAATCCTTACAAGACTCTAACTCTGACCTGTGATTTAAACCTAATTGCCTCACGTTCTGCCCACATGAAAATGCGCGTAACCATTTTTGGTGTTCGCAAGAGCAACGAGGAGAATCGCTTAATAAAGAATATATGCCGTGTGGAGAAGAAGAGAGGATTCGCAAGGGTGCCAATTGGCGACGACAGAGCGGCGAAATGAAGAACAGCTTGAACACCTGAGCGTGGCGACCCATCGCGGAGGGCATGCAACTACCATGGCCAACATACACTCGGCACATGCCGCAATGTCACTTCGCTGAATCAGCTTGCCCAAGTTTAAAATTTACTCGATATACCCGCCCCGCCCGCACCCGTACGTTTCGGCGACAGGGTATCAACTGAACTTTCGTGATCGTGAAGAAGCTTGAGGCGAATTTCGAGTGAAAGGATTTAACGGCCCCAACCCATCTTGTTGAACTCACGAGAAATCCCCTGGCGCTGCAACGATTTGGCTGTGAGACAGAGAAATTCCTTGACGCCGGTGCGTGAAGTTTCGTTTCCATGGTACAGCATCTCTGAAATTTTCCTCGGTGGAGTGATCTGTGAATGCGGTGAGAGCGAGAGTGAGATGGCGTTCGGGGTTGTGAAGCTGGTGACGCCGCTGCAGGTCGGGATTGTGGTGGCCATTGTGTTATCTCTGTCTGCTCGTCACATGGGCCAGTATAATAAGCATGTGGAGAGGTATGGACCTCTGGCGGAAATTCTCATTGAGAGAAGAATTCATAACAACTTCAAGGGTATAGATGCAGACGGGATCTCACCAAAGCTGGGTAATCACTCCGGAGATCTACAGAAGTAGAGCAGATCATCTGCAAAAGTCGTTGCTGATGCAGGATTTAGGGTTTGGAAAATTTCGGTGATGCGGTTGTAGTCCTCAGTGAAGTCAGTAGGTGACAGGAAAGATTGCACCAGCGTTATGGTCAAGAGGATGAAGGGAATGTGTACGGAGTCGTTTTGAAGCTCTAACCAATTCAGATAGCGAGTTGAATTCAGCGCCATCAGATACAATCACTTGCCGCTTCAAAACATTTTTTGGTTTTATTGAGCGGAACAGAGCATTAGTGCCACTGTTCGTGCATTGTTCTCTTTATTGATGCATCTTATGCAGCGTCCTTTAAATACAGACAGCTCTTATTGATGACTCTTATTGGCCTCTTAAGCAAGCATTGACCAGGAGCAACTAACTCGTTTGCTAGAGGCAACTCTTGGTATCACAGATGGGTGTCCTTGTGTGAAAGTCAAGTACCCTAAACACCTTCTGTGAATACCAAAATCTCGCAAGCACTCTTTTTCTTTTTGTAGTCTCTTTCGGTCACCAATTAGTCGTTAGCAGAGAAGTGGTGGGCCCTCTACCTTCATCAACTTCGCCTTCAGCCTCAACACACTTGTGGTCGCTTTCACCATCACTGTGCAGGGGTTCCGCAACCGAGTGTTAAAGGTGATTTTTATCTTGGTGATCATCAAACCTCAATCAACTAGAAACAATAGCAGCCTATGCTAGTCTCAAAGTTCGAGACAGGATTAGTGGTTTGTGCAGAACTAGAATCGTGTGGAAGACTTGGATTTCTAGTCTGAACGAGTTCTGTACGCAAATTGTGACAGTAAAAGCATCAAGCGGGGATTAGCAAAACTTGGCACAAGACTGTAGTGCGACAATTGCCTCTGGACTACACAGTACTATTTGCTGCATAGCTGCTGCCATTTATGGTTACTCACATAGTTTCTCCTTGGAAGGTTTATTCAGCAATATTCGTTGCTTGATATTGATTTTCCACTAATCTCGACCGCTTGGGATTCGTAATGAGAGAGGTTGTCTTCTGATTTGTGACAAAAGCATTGTGCTTGTGGCTAAAGACGAACCAGAGAAGAGATGAAAAAGAGAGAAAGCAGAAATGTATTCAAGGGAAGCTGGCAGTGACGGAAAGATTTGCACAGGGCTCACGATACGAACCTTGCAGATGCCAGGTTCATATTTAACAGAGACATGCCGTGCTCTGGAGTGCAAGAGTGTGCCCCCCCCCCACACACATACACCTGGTACGTACACATGCATATTACTTTGTCTTCCACCAAGGTGACAGACAGACAGACCGGTCAGATCTCTTCATCACCAGCGCTTTTTCCAGACTCAGTGCACTCTATCGATGCGCCGATCGTACAAGATGAGCTCACAGGAAACACTGAACAGACGGCTCCCAATCATTGCATATCAAATCCACTGCAGATAAGCTTCCAAAATTGGCTCCATTGGGTGATTGATGAGGTGGAGAGAAGACCCACAATGGGATGTCGTGTAGCGACCAGGAGCGAAATAACAGAAATATTGCGATTTGTCGGTTTTTATTTTTCTAAACAAGATGGACAAACTCGATCGATTTAACTAAGATAGTTACTGAACCGGTGGAAGAATACTTTCAATACTCTAACTGAACAGGTGCTTTATCCCGCCCCCGACAAATTGATTTACTTGAGTACCATTTGGTGGAGAAAATCTAAGTTTGAGAGTTTGGGACGAAAGCCGGCAATTAGTCTATTGCTAACTGCAGGGCTTCAATCCAGGTGACTGATCACTTCCGCCTCTTCACCAGCCGGTATTGTAATGCGAAGAAGCTCAACACTCGGTACCCAACTGCGAACCCCGCCATAATGCCCACGTCCGTCCACTTATTATCTTTGTTAAGAAACATACTCTCCAACACGTCCTTTCCCGTGAGTAAGCACTGCTCGCCATAAACAGGACCGAAGCACTTGTCCGCAACGTGAGAGTACTCGTTGATGAGGAGAGCATCCAGGGGGTACTTGAAAAGGGAGAGGTAGTGCATGAAGAGCCAGTACTTGGGCATGTAGTCCTTCGCTATGAAATACCCCGAAAATAAGAAGAATGCGCCCATGACGCCCGTGACGATGGTATTGCCCATGATGAAATCGGACACCATGGCGCTCAGGAAGGACACGAAGGAATTTGCTGTTACAAGAACTAGCCAGATGACGAGCAGGAAGAATATAAACGCATCCGATTGTGGGGCTAATCCGACGAGATGATATACAGGCCCTGCGTAGAGAAGAGCCACGAAGAACAAGAAGGGGAGGAAGATGAGTGTGCTGGAAAGGACGTAGGAGGAGACGCGGTAGGCGCCACGGGAAGTTTCCCGCGTGAGGATGGTGCGCTCCTCTAGGAAGATTGGGAGCACTTCGATGCTGGATGTGAGTAGGAAGGTGAGAGTAAAAGCGAGAAATCCCACCCGTTTCTGCATCCCCGGAGAGCCATAGCCCATGTGGAGGTAGATGGTACCCAAGCCACACCCTGCACCGATTGCTTGGATGGTTCGCGCCATGAGGAGCTGCCTCGTGCGGATGATGTTCTTCAGGAAGCGGTGGGAGAGGATCATGATCTCCTTCACGCTCGTATTGGCGTAATTCGGCTTGTCCTTGTCGGATGAGGAGTTGGTGAGGCTACTACTGGAGGCCGAGCTGCTGCTGCTGTTGGTATCGTAATTTGGAGTTGAGGAGAGTGAAGGGATGGGCTCGAGGTCGCAAATGATCTCCTGGAGGGAGAGAGGGGGGAGGTCGGTCTTTCTCTGCATTGAAAAGATGCTGCTATGGTCAGTAGAGTGGAGAGTGTCAATAGAATCTATCGCATACTCCAGCACATTCACTTGGGAGGGGATCTTGTGCCCGGCTGCGATCAACCGATCCGAAAGAAGTTCAAGGCTGCCATGGTGCACGACCGAGCCCTGCGCAAGAATCAACACCGCGTGAAATTGCTGCAGGATTTGGTACCCTGGTTGATGGATGCTCAGAATTATAGTGCGATTGCGTGACACCGCCATCCCTCTCAACATGATGCATACGTGCAGCGCGGCGGCGGAATCCAGCCCCGAAGTCGGCTCGTCGAGAATCAACACCGCAGGGTCATGGATCACGTCTACTCCGATCGAAACTCGCCGCCTCTCGCCTCCTGACAACCCCCGGATGCTCTCATTTCCGATTCGTGATCCTGCGACATGGCTCAATCCTAGCTCGCTCATAAGACCTTCAACCCTTGCAATTTTTTCCGTCATGGGCACGGCTGATGGTATCCGCAACCGCGCTGAGTAGAGCAGCGTCTCCCGCACCGTGAGCATGGGGAAGAGCGCGTCGTCTTGCATGACATAGCCACTAATTCGGCGAAAATGTTGCCTGTCCATGGGGTGTCCGTTCACGAGGATGCTTGTCGACGGCGAGCTCGGCGGAATCTTTCCCCCCAAAACCTCAAGAAGAGTGGATTTTCCCGCCCCACTTGGCCCTGCAACCGCCAGGAGCTCTCCAGGCTTAGCGTCGCAAGTAACGTGTTTCAGAATGTATTGAGAGTGCGAGGATTTCGCATTGAAAGGGCTGATCTCTTCGTTCATGGGACCTTTCTTTTTTTTTGTCACAATTTGGTAAGAGAGGTCGCGAAGCTCCAGAAAGTACGTTTTGGTGCGGGAGGGTGAAGGGGAGGGTAACGAAAGAATCGTCACCGGGGAGGCTTGCATGTGGGAGTTGTCTCCATCCCGAAAGGTTTTGTTCCCCGTGCATGTTGATTTATTGCAGCAACAAATCACGCTATTGTTACGGGACCTTTCTCTTCTCTCGAAATCCATGGCGCCAGGACCTGTGATGTATCCCTGTAATTTCTACAATGTGGGTACTGTAAGTGAGACACTAACCCCAAAGTCTGTACTCGACTTCAGCCAAGCTCATGGAGGTCAATCTCTTAAAATACTATGAAATTTTTTAAAATAAATAAATAAAATAAAAAATGAAGGCTGTCTTTGTGACTATTATTGATCAGTCTTGCGCTATGGCTCGTTCCAAGCCCTGTTAAACCCTGCAAAGCTCAACACTGGTCCTACTGACAGAGCAAACGACGCTGTTGAGTTCTGGCGAATGCAAATATCCCTGTTGCCCTGTAGCCTCGACGTCACCGATGGGCTGTAATCGTTTCAAGACAATGCCAACACCCTCCCGCACACACAACAGACCACTGATCACCAACATCCTGGTCCATATCAGTGACCTCACTGCGTTTCTGAGCAGAGCTTTATCAGCTCACTTGAAGACTCTAGGGTACTTCACGAATCCATCGGAATGGACTGTAGAGATATACGAACATTACCGCGAGTAAATCCACGGCGTGGGAACAATGAAACAGATAAAGTCAATATGAAGAAACACAGGGACCTCTAATGTACAGCAACTGCAGAGGCGACCTGGCTTGCCCCTCAAAGCTCCGAGGCGTCGCAGTAGAAAGAGGTGCGTACCTGTTCAATGCAATGAGCTGATAATTGCTACAAAATCACAGCTACAGGCACAATGTGCCCAGAAGCCGTCTTCACTAAAAAATTTGCTATGGCAAGCCCACATTACCATTGCCTACTACCACTCTTCAAAACCATCACTGCTCCAGCACTAAGAGAACCGTAACAACATACTCGAACATTCCCAATTTTAGTTTTGGCGACCTTCCTTAATCTACACACACACGAAGGTCACCGCAAGAGCATTCCAATGACACACGAAGCTGCTGCAACGCGGGAGAAACAACTCACTGGCGGCTTCTACTTTGTCCTACCTCTCCTCCACACACTTGTGTGTATGAAATGAGCGCGACCTACAGCTAACCTCCAGCTACGACCATACAACACCAAAGCTGCAGCAGTGACTTTGAGCTCCTGTTATCAATGACCCAAGCACACAAAGTCTAACCTCGATCAGAGACAGTCTGAGGGTAGTGCAACAATGCGATGCACATGAGTCTGAGTTCTGGGCGCTTGAGAAGAGACTTTTTATTATATATATTTCTACTCTCAAACACGCACTTAACCACCGATAATCTCCACGCTAGGGACAGACCACTCAACCCTAATGCAGACGACTTTGTGCGCTCTCCTGATCTGCAGGCAAATGCAGTTACCAAAGTAGCTGATAAATCCAGCGGGCAGGGCGGAAGAACTTAAAACCTCATTCTGTCATTAAGAGGCAAGAGTGAGGATGGTGGGGGGCGGGGTGGAGTGGGGAAGGTGGAGGGGCGAGTTCTGCTCCAGAAGCCGGTTACGATGGACACACACACACACAGCTTCACGATTCAGCAGGGGAAGGGGAAGGGGAAAGGGGGAAGGGGTTGTGCAGACTGACGGCCTGATGTTCTCATCAGAGCTCGCATTCAAGGCTAGTTCCGCTCCAATCTCGTCTGCATTGATCACTCCCTGCTCCTCTACGCGACCCAGATCTCTAGCTACTCACTTAACACCCTCAGCGACCGGATATCCTCTTTTTCTTTCAATTCTCTTCCAACTTGCCAAGCATCCAATCTCCCCGACCGCAGCTCACGGCAGCAGCCCCTTGACTCCGCTTTCCTACTCCTCCATCGACTCAATATCTTGATTAACACTACCCGACTGGTTTCACTGCTAATGTCAGCACTTCGGTGGGTGTGCATCTCGTCCAGCCGCCCACCCCTGATTCCCGAGTTGGTGGAAACTTAATGCCACGGCAGGGTCAGAAACTCCGCCTCGTTCCAACCTTGTTTCAATTCTTTCACGCCCTCATTACCTGCTGCTGCTAGCTAGCTAGCTAGTTGGCTGCAGAGGGATGGTTTGGTTAACAAAATGCTCACTCCTCCTTCCACGAAGAAACAAGTTTCTTCAGGTTTTGTTCACCGAAGTCGACGCCTGCACCAGGTCTCGAAGCTCACGCGTTGCAGATCCTCCACACCCGACGCGCCACGCAGCATGGGAGCTGTGGAATTGCGGCGACTCTCCATGATTTATGTGGAGGTGTGAGATGGAAACAAGAGCACACATAATTGGTTTAATTTAATTTATCTTAAAAGAAAGCACATGAAGGGGAGTGGAGAAAAGAGGAGTGAGTCTAATGTGCTGTCTCTGTCCCCTAATTCTTCTTCTTCTTCTTTCTTCCCTTTTTCTTTATTTCTTTTCCGAGCAACTAGTACACATATCCCGTTGTCTTTCTTTCACAAGTAGCGGCAATTGAGAGAGATGGGGCAGCACCAAGCTTCAATTGTGGACATTAAACCTGGTTGAGCAGGTTAGTGAGGGAGTTAGGGTGCAGATATAGCAGCAGCCCAACTGCCGTAGCCATCACCAGATCCCACCCACTGGCACCATCCCCTATTCAGTGAAACCACGTTCGCCCAGCATGTGGGTCCCTCTGCTTCATTTGCAGCTGAATTTGAGAACCAAAAGTCCAATCTCATCAATACTCACACACCGATGTAATCTAAACATTCTTTCTCAGAAACGAATAGAGAGATAGCATACCACCAAGGGAGAAGAAGTGCTTGCAACAGCTTCTCTGTTATAACTTCTTTCCTCCTCTCCTTTTTTTCTTCATTAAGTGTTCTATATATGTGTGTGCTAAATATATCTATATCTATATATATATATATATTCTAGCTGAAACCTGTGCAGTTGGGCATGGAAAAGTTGTTTACATGTAATAAACTGGAGGTCTTTCTGGAGGTCTTTCTGGAGGTCATTCTGCTGGTTAACAATTTTTTTGATTTTGGCCTGATTTCAGCCAATGAAAAGGCTTCTTTATGTGTTTGTCTTGTAACTAAGCTTAGATAGATAGGAGAACGAATGATTGAATGAATGAGAATGTTCTGAAGTTTTTCTATTAATGCGATGCAGATTTGCTTGCAGTAGGAATTTTCTCGTCAGGGGGGTGGGGTCACATGGTGACTGGAATTTGGAATTTTAGCATTGTGAGAGCTCTTTAAGTGAAGGTCAAAGTCAAGGCAATCAAGTCATACCTGGATGGTAATGTGTATCTTTCATTGCCTTGCTTAACTTCTGCTTGGTGCACAAACAAGCTTAACACCCTAAATTTGGGTTTAAAACTCACTTTGCATTTGATATCATTGTTAGTGTGGTACAAGGCTCCCATTTGCCAGTTAACATGGTGAGCTTGGGTGAGAAATGTTTGAGCTTTAAAAAACACTCCTTCATTATTTCATTCATGTATAAATTCTATTTCTAAAAGCACTTGTGCACAAAAATAATGTTTCATAAATGTTCTTGTTGCAAACAATGTGATCAGTTGATATTGTATTACAGTCATAACTTTAAACAAACTGGAATTCTTTTTGATGGTAGTATTTGTAAATACTACACAGATATGTGTGTATGTATATAAATAAATTTAATGTACATTATGTTTCTTGACTGAACCTTTGTGTTTTGATATAAATACTTCATTGTGTTACTGTCAACATGAATAACAAGAAATTACTACAACTACACTTCTTCTAAACCACCTTTATTTTGTTTATCACTATGTACATAAATTATATATATGGTATCAATATGGTATGTGTGTATATATACATATATACAAATATATATGTATGTGTGTATGTGTGTGTTTTGAGAGATTATAAAAAATATATAGTTTCATTACCAAAGAAAGTTACATATTTTTTTATTTTTTGTATTAAATAAGTTGTAGATGATTGCACTAAATTCTATGTAAAATAATTCTTTTTTATTTTAAATATTTTATTAGTAATGTGTATGATATTAATGTAATGACACATAAATGATTGTATTGTACTTTTTTTTTCTTAAACTCTATTCCTAAACCATTTTCTTGGAATTATTGAAGCTATAAAAATTAACTTCTACTCAACATTAATTCATATTCTTGTTTGAAAAAACTTAAAAAATCCCAAATGAATTTTAATTGATCGTTTGATATAATAAGCTTTTGATAATAATTTTTCATCAATTTATAAATGCAAGTTACAAAGTTTGAATTATTCTTATTTTCATTCATGTGTTCATTAATTCATCAATTTACATACAAATACACATATGTACATCAATCATTATAGTATTCCACGTGTTGTAAAAAAGAGAGTGCAATTCTAGCTCTTTCAGGCAATAAAATTCTTCACAGAGAGTTGCTTCATTCTTAAATGTCAAGCTTCCTGTTAGAATCAGAGTTTTAGAGATTTCATACATGGTTAAAGCTTTTGTGGATTTCTATGTTTTTTCCCTTGATAAATGTAGAGCGAGAGAGAGAGAGAGAGAGAGAGAGAGAGAGTTTAACAAGATATAATGATTTTGTGTGGGTTTTAATTCATCATGAGAAATTGTATTCTTTTTAAGAGACACTACCATAAAATTTACAATTATTCTTGAAAACAATAACAATTCACTGAAGGGATACAAGTACATACAATATTAGCAACTTCATACATGAAGTATTTATATGTTAAGACTTTAAAATATGACAATTTTTTTTAAACAATATAAATCTTTTGAAATCTCAAGTCTGTTTTGAAGAGGTGCTGATTTTTTCAAAATAATACTTTATCACGAGTACTCATTTTAATTTTTTTTGAAGAATTTACTCATAATGTGGGATGTTAAATCATGAAGCACTTTGATCTTGACATAAATTTGATGTCAAGACAAGAAATTCAACAGAAACATCCATGTCTCTATAATTCTTCTGAATCAACATTCTACTAACGAAAGTTATCTTTCTCATTAATCCGACGATGCAGAACATTTTATTTTATGTGGACATTTTGTAGGTTTCATTGAATGGCATGTGTGAAATACAACCTTACATCAAAAATGAACTTAATTACAAAATCTTGGAGTCATTTTTAAAGAACTCATTCTTGATGTAGACAATTCTGTCAGATTGTCAAAGGATTGAGACTGCGAATTCTAATCGTAACAAATTTACATGCAAAGGGTGTAATTTCATAAAATTTGAAAGCCACGTTTGTCAAAATTTTGCATCATTGAGACTGCAAATTCGCACCTTTTGTAAGATCAAATGTTCAAAAAAACAACTACGATACTACACTAGGTTTTAATTTCTATTTTTTTAGATTTTAATTCTCAGATTAGAATATATATATATATATATATATATATATATAGTTTGAAATCGGAAACAGTTTTCTATGGCATCAACCAACAATGAAACCATTGCCACTGGAAATAGCTCACAAATGAACTTAGGAACAACTTCAAACAAAGCAAGCTCTAGTAACAATGAATCCATACACAACGAAATGCACAAAACGAAAATAAAGAGTGAACTCCCACTAGACCATGAGAATAAAGTAAGTCAAATCATCCTAAACACCTATCCTTCTTCTGTTCTTTTTTCGCTTTAGGGTTTAAAAAATAAATTTCCACAATCTACATCAGTGAATTGGACAAGAGTATCACGACATATCAGAATTGCAATTTATAACTTGGTTTTCAAAGTGTAAAACAATCTAGTCGCAAAGACTAAGATCATGATAGAAAACAAAACATATTACTATTATAAATGTACATATACGCACATCGAAACTGGCTTATTTAATTACATATATATATATATATATATATATACACACACACACACACAGATAGTGAGTGAAAGAGAGCGAGAGAGCACGAATGCGGAATGAATCAGAGTGTGGAAGACTAACTCGGAGCAACAGGATTCTGAAGCCAGTGCGGCGGATGGGAATGGGCCACAGCCAGGCCACATTATCTCCACCACCATCGGAGGCAAGAATGGGCAACCCAAGCAGGTACCTCTTGCTACATGCCTTTTCTCACATGCTGCAGGTTGCAGTTTGAGTCATGCTCGCATTCTGATCACTCATTCTAGAATATAACAATCGAGGATGAGGAAGAAGAAGAAGAAGAAGAAGAAGTCGAAGAAGATGCTGATCAGGAGCTAGTCAAAATGGGTACTAACGAAGCATGTCTGGATCGATGGACTCCGGGCTTGGTTTTGTTCAGACCATCAGCTACTCGGCAGAGCGCGTCGTCGGAAGCGGCTCCTTCGGCATCGTATTTCAGGTACTACATCACTCCTGTTTGGATCTGTGCCGCATGCAACGCTGGAAACAATCTGTTTAGTCGACGAGTCATAGCAACTGAGCGAGTGAGAGAGATAGACCGAGAAGTGTGTGTGTGTGTGTGTGAGAGAGAGAGTGATTCGGAGACTGCCCTGACGGTGCTGGTGTCGAAGCTGCTGGTGCTGTGGCGTAGGCCAAGTGCATTGAGACGGGGGAGACAGTGGCGATCAAGAAGGTGCTACAAGACAAGCGGTACAAGAACCGGGAGCTGCAGATCATGCGGCTGGTGGACCACCCGAACGTGGTGGCGCTACGGCACTTCTTCTTCTCGACCAGCACCGACACGCAGGAGCTGTACTTGAACCTGGTACTAGAGTATGTGCCGGAGACGGTATACCGGGTGGCGCAGCACTACCATCGCCTCAACCAGCGCATCCCACTCCTCTTCGTCAAGCTCTACACTTACCAGATGTGCCGCTCCCTCGCCTACATCCACAACGCCGTAGGCGTCTGCCACCGAGACATCAAGCCCCAAAACCTCCTCGTGGGTGCCTCCTTCATTATCTGCCTGCTTGCCTATCTGCCAGCTACCCACATCAGTCTCATTTCACATGCTTCAAATAAAAAGAAAAGAAAAAGGAAAGATAATGCGAAGGATTGCACGGTGTGTGTTTGTTTGCTGTCCTGTTGTTGTAGGTGAATCCTCACACGCATCAATTGAAGCTCTGTGATTTTGGAAGCGCAAAGGTTTTGGTCAGTACGCTTCTACTTGTTCTCAATTAATCCATGTACTCTCTCTCTCTCGCTCTCTCTCTACTATGGGCAAGGACAACCCACCCACCTTAGAATCTTACTTAATATTCGTTATATATTTATATCCAGGTGAAAGGGGAGCCGAATATAGCGTACATCTGCTCTCGGTACTACCGAGCCCCGGAGCTGATCTTCGGGGCCACGGAGTACACAACCGCCATCGACGTCTGGTCCGTCGGATGCGTCATGGCCGAGCTCCTCCTCGGCCAGGTAAGTAGTTTAGTCTCAAGTCTCAACCCCCCCCCCTTCCCCTTCCTTTAAATCTCTCTGCAAGTATTTGTTGGGGGATCGCATGTTCCTATGCATGTGGGGGGACGTTCCCTCAGTCATCTGTTCTAATACCCCCCGCTCGTTCGTTCGTACCCTTTGTGGTGGTGGTGCAGCCCATGTTCCCAGGTGAGAGCGGAGTGGATCAATTGGTGGAGATCATCAAGGTGTGAAACATAGGCTTCCTTTTCCCTTGTTATTATTATTATTATATTTGTTTTTGAATTGTATTAGTGGGTTTAGTAGGATGTTTAGTGGGTTTATTAGTGGGTTATATGAGAGGGGTGGGGGTGTGCGGAAACCATGGAATCAGGTGCTGGGGACTCCCACGCGGGAGGAGATAAAGAGCATGAATCCGAATTATACGGAGTTCAAGTTCCCGGAGATAAAAGCGCAGTCTTGGCAGAACGTGTTCCCCAAGAGGACCACCCCCGACGTCCTCGACCTCCTCTCCCACTTCCTCCAGTTCTCCCCCGACCTCCGCTGCTCACCTGTCAGTAGTCAGTCACCCCACACACCCCCTTCCCTACCCCAAATATATATATATATATATATATATAATTAGACAAAATGACAAATTGGGTATATGTATGTACGTGTGTGTGTATATATATATATATATATATATATGTGTGTGTGTGTGTTTCATTTTAATATATTTTTGGGGTGATTTTTCCGTTGCTACTATTACAGTTGGAGGCATGTGTGCATCCATTTTTTGATGAGCTTCGGGATCCCAATTGCCGTCTTCCAAATGGGCGAGCATTGCCTCCTCTCTTCAACTTCAAACCTCAAGGTACCCAGGCTCCCTTTCTCTCTTCCCCTCTTCTCGTCCCCCCCCCCTTTTTTTTTTCTTCTTTTCTCTTTTGCTTAACTTTCTATCTTTTTTTTTCTTAGAATATTGTGTGAGTGTGTATGTTTTGTTGGATCTTTACAAGCAGAGTTGAAGAATGCAAGTCAAGAGATCTTGCAATGCTTAATACCCGAGCATGTCAGAAGGCAAAGTGCCACACTCACATCATGAATTACAACAACGGGTGAGAAAAATATTTAAAAAACAATTATAAAAGTAACAGAGAAAGACTCTTAAAGACAAATAAGAAGACTATGTCTTTATGTAAAGTAAAGGCAAGAGAGGACATTTAGATCCTGTTTTTTTTGTTTTTGTTTTTATTTTTGTTTTGTTTTTTCCTACCGTGAGACTCTCGAGGGATTTGAATCCCATGCTGAGTCTGTGGCTTTGTTCTTGAGCATGAACTGTTTTAAAAAAATTCTCCCATTTTTTGCAAATTGAGCTGTTAAAAACTCTCAGAAAACTGATTTTTCATTAAAGTTTTTGGAACAACAGAATGGTAATGTGACTACAGTTGTTTGTTCATTTCACTTCTTCTTCTTCTTTTTCTAATAAAAAACTAGTGATCTTACTCAAAAATAAAACACAATACAACAAGATAAGGTTTAAAAAATTTCCTCTTTCTTCCTCCATATTTGTGTGTGTATCTTCATGCATGTTTATGAAAATTTGTTTATTTTTATGACTTCAGTCTATTGAATATATCATCAAATCTAAGATTACGAAATTATTAATAGTGCATTGTAATAATCACAAACATTAGTTATTTACTTTTGTTTTAAGCAATTTTGTGTATGTGTATATGTATATGTATATTAATGTAATTTTTTTAAAAAATCTTAAAAAAATCATGATAGTTAAGAGCATATATATATATATATATATATATATATATGAAAATATTAAATAGATCTACATTTTTACTAAATCAACCCACCCTATAAAAAGCATGATTAGAAAAATGAATCATTTCCAAAAATCATCATAAGCATTATAGCCTTCATCTCTATCTCTATTGTTCCTAGTTCCCACCCTCAATATTCCCAATCTTCAACTTAACTCCTTTCGTTTCTAGATCTTAATTCAATCTTCTTGTTCTCCTTATTCTCAGCCTTCATCTTAACTCAATCTTCTTATTCTCCTTATTCTCAGCCTTCATCTTGATCCTTATCAATGTATAAATATTAAATATAAAATATGTGTTAGGGACATAGTCCTTAGAACCTTCTAGAGACAAGTTTCTAGAACTTTCTAGAGACAAGCTTCTAGAACCTTCTAGAAGTAAGTCTTTGGAACCTTCTAGAAACTTCTTAGTTGGTAGAAGATATTAGGGACATAGTCCTTAGAACCTTCTAGAGATAAGTTTCTAGAACCTTCTAGAAGCAAGTCTCTAGAACCTTCTAGAAGCTTCCTAGTTGGTAGAAGTTGCTTGAGAAGCTTCCTAAATAGAAGTATATATTGGGATCGAGGTTGAAGAGTTCTTCAGTCTCGACAACACATCTCTTGGAGCTCTAGCTCACCTCTCTGGTGTTATTATCATCTCATTAATTTAGTTCTTGCCAGTTCTTCTTGAACTTCTTGTTAGATCTCGAGTCTGTATTTCTGTGTCCGTGATAGTTTGTCGAGACTACACTCACCTCAGATATCAGAGCTAGTTTCTTCTTTGTTAGAGTGTGGATTACTCCTGTGCTTGGAAGTGTACTAGCACTTTAGAGGTTGCGGATTACCCTCCTTTAAACTGATACTTCTTTTGTTACAATATTGAAGTCTTATTCTTCTTGGAGAGAGTAGATTACCCCTTTTCTTGGAGAGAGTGGATTACCCCTTTTCTTGAAGCTCTTAAGGCATTTTAGAGGTTGCGGAGTACCTTCCTCTAAACCAATATTGTCTTCTTGTAGAGTCATTTCTATCCTTCTCTTAGAATGGTCGGGGGCCAAGACATTAGTATGATGGAAAGTTCAGAGTCCAAGTTAGATGCTATCATGAATGTCCTCGCTACGTTATCACAAAGAATTGCAGAGATTGAAGGAGTCATAGCAAGGCTTCATAATGATGGAGCATCTGGGATGGCACAATCTAGGTTGCACCAGCCTCAAACTTTTACACTTGGAGAAGCAACTTTGCCTCAGGTTCGACAAGCACCGCTGGTTCTACAACATAAGGAACCCCGAGTTAGCCTTCCGGACAAGTTCAATGGTACACATTCCAAGTTTCAAGGATTCGTCAACCAAATCAGGTTGATAACAGTTTTACAGCTCGAACGCTATCCAATGGAGGAGTCACGTGTTAGGCTTGTTGGAACCTTACTTACAGGACAAGCTCTATCATGGTTTGCTCCTTTGTTTGAAAAACGATCGTCCATACTAAACAACTTTGAAACCTTTTTGGAGGCATTTGCGGAAGCATTTGGTGAACACGACAAGGTTCAATGGGCTACAACAAAGATCCGGTCACTATGACAAGGGATGCACTCTACATCAGTCTATGCATCGGACTTCAGGCAATTAGCATGTGACATCAATTGGGACGAAGAAGCGTTGATGAGTCAATTCTATTGGGGTTTAAGGGACGATGTGAAGGATTTGCTGTTAACTCTTCCTACTCCGCAAACACTCAATGAAGCTATTAGCCAAGCTGTGAAGTGCGATAACCGCCTATTCCAACGTCGCCAAGACCAACGTTCAAGACAACATACGGTTCGCCACACCCCAACTATGTCGGCAAGCAGCGTGAATTCACATTCAGAGGTAGAAGACATGCAAATTGATGCGGTACGTGTCGAATTTCTTACTCTAGAAGAAAAAAAACGGCGTATGGAGGAAGGTCTATGCTTGTATTGTGGTGAAGAAGGCCACAAAGTTGGAAACTACCCCAAGAAGCAAAATCGACGTATTATCAAGACTAGGAGTGCATTTATTCAGGAAAACGAGGATGCCCAGCCACAATAGGAACCGTGTGGATGGACAGTGAAATATCACAACAACAACCAGGTTCCTTTCTTTCCGCTCAACCTGCCCTTTGTTTTACAATCCCTTTGCTTATTGGCCCTCAGAAATTGAGAACCTTAGCATTATTAGATTCAGGAGCATCTGCTTGTTTCTTAGACGAAGAATTTGCTAAGCGTCATAAGATCCCTTTAGTACAAAAATCCAAACCTGTTCACGTTGAGGTCATAGGTGGACGACCTTTATTGTCTGGTAGTGTCACCCATGAATCAAAACCTATAGAAGTGACGTTTAAGGACCATAGTAGTCATATTATTTTCAATATTATTAGAACCCCATCAAATCCTCTTATTCTTGGTCTTTCTTGGTTGGAAAAGCATAACCCATCCATAGATTGGAAGTTGCGGAAGATGACCTTTCCCACAAAACCACCCAAGAGCAAGCCTAGTAGAAAATCCCGAATAGAGAAATCCTTATTTATTGGAGCAAGAGCGTTTATAAGATTGTCCAAGGGAGGCACACCGTTTGTCATTTATGCGGCTCCAACTACCAGGGAGAAGATCTCGACAGCAAGTATACCGGAGCAATATAAGGATTTTAAAGACGTGTTTCAAAAGAAAAATGCCGACATGCTACCGGAACACAGACCATATGATTGTGCCATAGACTTACAGGAAGGAGCACAACCGCCTTTTGGCCTAATCTACAATCTATCGCAGATGGAGTTGGCGGAGTTGCGGAAGTACATCGACGAGAATCTAGCCAAGAACTTCATCTGTCATTCAAAATCGTCAGCTACAGCACCCATCTTATTTGTGAAGAAGAAAGATGGCTCGTTGCGGATGTGCGTGGACTATCGAGGCTTCAACAAGGTAACAAAGAAGAATCATTACCTGTTACCCTTGATTTTTGGTCTCTTAGAACAACTTGGACGTGCAAGGATTTTTACAAAAATTGATCTAAGAGGAGCTTACAACCTCGTACGAATCAAGGAAGGAGATGAGTGGAAGACATCATTCCGTACAAGGTATGGCCATTTTGAATATAATGTCATGCCCTTTGGTCTTACCAATGCTCCAGCGGTCTTTCAACATATGATGAATGACATTTTCCGAGAGTACTTTGACGATTTTGTTGTCATCTATTTGGATGATATTTTGATATTCTCCAAAAATGAGGAAGAGCATGAAAAACACGTTCGTTTGGTATTGGAGAAACTACGCGAGCGAGGACTATATGCCAAGTTGGAAAAGTGTTTATTTTACCAAATAGAGATGGAGTTTCTAGGATTCGTTGCAACTACGAAAGGCTTGAAGATGGACCCCAAGAAGGTGGAAGCAATCGTGTCCTGGGAGGTTCCGAAGACGGTTAGAGACGTACAATGCTTTCTTGATTTTGCCAACTTCTATCGGATCTTTATCAAGAATTACTCTCAAGTTGTTGCTCCTCTCACTCGGTTGACAAGCAAGGATAACCTGGAATGGGGACCTCTAGCAGAGAAGGCATTTCAAAACCTGAAGACCGCATTTACTACAGCTCCAATCTTGGTACATCCAGACTTTACAAAGGCCTTCTATTTAGAAACTGATGCTTCGGATTTTGCTTTGGGAGTTGTACTTTCACAAATGAAAGAAGACAAGAAGCTCCATCCGGTTGCATTCTATTCTCGAAAGTTCTCTGCTGCTGAAATCAATTATGAGATCCACGATAAGGAACTTCTTGCTATAGTGGATTCTTTCCAAGAATGGCGTCACTTTCTTGAAGGAGCTGCACATCTAGTGATCGTATACACAGATCACAAGAATTTGGAGTATTTCATGTCGGCTCGAGTTCTAAATCGACGTCAAGCTCAATGGAGTATGTTGCTATCTAGATTCAATTTTATTATCACTTATCGACCTGGAAAGCAACAAGGACTATCTGATGCCTTATCGAGGAGATAGTATCTTGTACCAAAGGCTGGAGATGCAACGTTTGATCAACAATGTAAGACATTGTTGAAGCCAGAGCAATTTCAGCTTTGCGCTACTATTATGTCAATTGATGCTGACTTCCTGAATCAGGTACATGCCGTAACCATTGAAGATTCAGTAGCCATTGATATTAAGCAGCGTGCCAATGACGACAAGTTCAAGGTGGAGGGAGATCTTTTATACTTTGAAGAGCGGTTATATATCCCAAAAGGACCAGCACGACTCCGAGTTCTTCAATCTCGCCACAATTTTCCAGCTGCGGGATATTTTGGATTCAACAAGACCTTCGAGCTTATTTCTCGAGATTTTTGGTGGCCCCAAATGTGGAAGGATGTGAAAGATTTTTTCCTCTCCTACGACATCTGTTCAAGATCCAAGAATCCTCGGCATCGCCCTTATGGACTCCTACAGCCATTGCCGATTCCACGTCGACCATGGTCTTCAATTTCCATGGACTTCATCACGGACCTGCCATCATCGAACTCATTTGACAGCATCTTTGTTGTGGTAGATCGGCTTACAAAAATGACACACTTTGTCCCTTGCAAGAAGGCATCGTCCAGTGAAGTCACA